TAGATCGAAATGCTTACGTTGAATGCCTGCTGGTAGATCACCCAATCCTGCCTCCGGGCTACAGGTATTTCAATTATCCGTGGTTCTGCCGTTCCCTGCTCGTCCGCTTTCATAGTTGCTCGTGGAATCGATTCCCAGACATTCCTCGTTCCGAATAGATCCTCCTCCTTCGCGTAATCTCGCGTTTGTGCGATGTTCAATCAAAATAACTTTTGTGTCTCTCACTGCTTTGCTTTATTCATTTCGAATTGAATGCTTTGTATTCTTCTTATTGAGAATTTAAAGATTATAAATTTAACTTTGAAATGTAATTAGATAAATATATTCTTTTTTATTTTGCAAAGTTTGAATTTTTTCCCGTAAAACGTTAATGCTAATTATAGATTAACTAGCGACCCGCCCTCGCTTCGCTTCGGAAACTGTAATTTATTATTGATTTCTCTACTATTTAATGAATGTCATTATACCTATAAACCTTCCTCGTCAATCACTCTATCTATTAAAAAAAACCGCATCAAAATCCGTTGCGTAGTTTTAAAGATTTAAGCATACATAGGGACAGAGAAAGCGACTTTGTTTTATACTATGTAGTGATTTGTTTGATTTAATTCCAATTTGGTGGAATATAATCATAGTTTTATAATGACTTGTAAAGTTTTGAGATAAGTAAATGTGAAATAAATGTTGAATCTATCTTATCTATTTTAATAAATATGTTTGTATAGATTGCAGATTCTTATAAAGAAACGTAAAAGCGTGTATTACTAAATAGATACAATCATACTACGTAATAATATAATGTACGAATTACGGTAATATAGTGTACTAGCACTTAAGTCGCCGATTTTCGTGAAATATCTCATATTTAAAAGTCTGATTGGACTTAAAATTGGTATTGCAGCCAATGTAAAATGAACTGTCATCATCGAATTAGCAGATATATATATATTCATTGTTAGTTTAGCGCAATCAGAACTGTGAAGAAACTAAGAGTATGAATTAAAATTGCAGATCTATGTGAGCACATTTCAACATACAAACATGACAGTTATAAAGCAACAAGTCCTTTATGTCACATTTGTGGCGACGTTTTGCTACGTCCTAGTTGGGGGGAGGGGGAGCGGGGGGGGGGGTGTATACGTTCGGGTGGCTTAGGGGGAAGTTGCGCGGGGGTGATGCGTCTCGCGCTCGTACTATCAGTGTGTATTAATACGTGAAGCAAAACTTTGTACCCCTATTTACGAAAATTGCTCGGACGGAGGAGTATGAAATTTCCCACACTTATACAGAATATAGAGTTAGTGCACAATGCTAATATTTTTTTTAAAAGAATGCATATAAAAGACATTAAACCAATAAAGAAAACATTACACAACTAACATGTATTCACCATACACACACACGCTTATATACTATTTTGTTTATTGTTAAAGTCTGTGGTCGAGTTGAGATAGATTGATATTGATTTCTTTAATATTATTTGTCTATATAGCAAAATCTGTGGTTATAGAAGTAGTCTTTGACGGTAGAACCATAATAAGGTTCAAACATATAATTTAAATTAATAATAATTATAGTCGAATTTCGATTACCGGGCGACCACTAGTATCCATAATTATTTCACACTTTGTATTTCGCGTTCACGACACAGGGAAACAATCGGTCACCATAGTGCTTTTCCGTGTGACCGAATGTGGGGTTGCTGTATTTTCTTTGACTCTTAATAATAAATGCACCCTTTCCTAAACGAGGTATTTTTGTTCATATTTACACAATATACGCCAATTATGAATTTAATTAGAGCTAGATTATTTAATCGAATATTTAAACCAAACAAATGTGTATTTTTTTCATAACTTATGCTAACGTATTAAGGTCGATAATTTCTAAGTAGCGTAAATATTATAAATAAATTATTTTCTTCAATCGATTTAATGTTAGTTACAATTGAGTGTCGGCGGCAATCAATTGAAATAAAAATTACTTCTCCAACGATTTTTATGTTCATTACATTAGATAAAAACTTGGTATTTCTGTTTCGATTCGGGACGTCTTCTTGTTAATAAAACGTAAACATTTTTCTTCTTTCTTCTATTGTAAATGTTTATCGCATTTGTAATCAGATATTCAATATTTTATGTTAGTTTCTTTTATAAATTGTATACAATTTTTGAAAATTATTCGTGTCTTAGTAGACTATAAAAATTTTTTTATTCTTTTCTAAATACATTTAAACAGGAGACATTCAGGATCACGAGAATAATTTTCACACTGATAAATCGCAGTAAGATTTAACAGCAAAAAAAAACACGACATTCAAGAGGCAATCTGACACTTTTTTGTCCAATGAAAAAAAAAAAATCTGTCGTAAAGTATGAACAACATGAATAGCCCTGCTGCACCCTTAGTTCATTGTTAAAGTACGTCCCTGTACCGGTCTCATTTGAAACCTCGTCGCCGGCGATAACGAGCCGCAGATAAGGACAGGGACGGGACAGCGACGAATGTTTTGAACTCATCGACTCCGCTAATGACATAGAATTTAACATCTCGCTCATTTATATTAACGTTGATTCGCTCTCATTGTGTTCGCGTATTGTCAACGTTTATTTATGACGGGGAGTAATTTATAAGAAATCAAAACATTTTTTATTTATTTAGGCAACGCTTCCAAAAATAAAAACATTTACTACAATCTCAAACATGAATCAATTTGTATTTGAAAAGGGTTTTTTTACCGTTTGCGTTTCGGTTTGAAGGGCGGGGCAGCTACTTGAGACCTTAGAACTTATATCTCAAGCTGGGTGGCGCATTTACGCTGTAGACGTCTATGGGCTCCAGTAACCACTTAACACCAGGTGAGCTGTGAGTTCGTCCACCCATCTAAGCAATATAAAAAAAAATACAATATTGATTCCCTGTGATCTGTGTGAATGCGGATCGAAGTGAGTTGCCCAGACTCGGACAAACATCGCATCTACTTGTATATATGTATATATACAACCGATGTAATTACATTAAGGTCCAACTGCGTCTCGTGGACTAGGTAGAAACCTTGTTTCGCCTCTCCACCGGTTGCCGTTAAGTTTGCATGCTTAATAAGGATCCTCCTGAAATCCTATGTAGCTGCGAAATGTCTGATCGGATGTTGCCGGTCGTGTTATTTGTTTGCGTTAAATGTTGACATCATCAATTGTTTCTTCTGCATTCGTGATGGAGTCATTCGTTTTCGTCTATATAAATACGAACTTGACCTATCTATATGTAGGATTGGTAAGAACCGGAACGTATGAAAAGAGTGTGGAACGAAGCGTTAAGGTGTGAGTGAGAGAAAACAGAAAGAATGGGAGAAGAGATTGACAGACAGAATGACAGAGAAAAGGAAGATGGCGAAGACGGTTAAAAAATGAGCAAGGCGTAATAAAAGTGTTAATTAAACTTTAATTATTATTATAACAGAAGACTTTGGAACAGTGTAATTAATAATAATATTAATAACCTATTCTTCATATATATTACAATGTATTATGTAGATAGGACAAGTTCGTCTATATGTTAAGATATTTTTCGTTGCCAAAAACGTAAGTTTTTGAACGCTGGCAAATCAAAATCCTTGGAATTTTTAATGGTACTAAGGCTCGTTATGAGCAAGTGCAGGCAAGTCACGCGAGCCAGGCTCCGTAGAAAGTGCGATCCGATATGTAAGGTACGTTCCCCTTGCGGCCCTAAAGTTTTCCCCTCCACTCCCCCGGGATCATTCGCCTATTTCCGCGCTAACTCTGCTCGCCAATCAAGCGCTCCACTTGTCATACCAAATTTGGGTCACTATGAATCATTTATCTTTGTTTAATTTATTCAACATTAAAAACAATACATGTGTTCGCCGAAGCGAGATCATCATCGCTTAATACATTTTTTTTTTTCCATAAACGATACGATCTCAGTGGAATAATTTCAGCCGAAGACAGCAGTAGAACATGTGCTAATTGATGTCAGCGTTTATTTTCGCACACTATATAATAAACGTTACGTAGAGAACATCGTGCTAATTACATACTTTGATGTTGATTAAAACCACAATATTGGTTACTTCGCTCTAGTTGCTATGTTTTTTGATTACGTGCCACGAATGAGTATAAAATACTCTTTGTGTATAGCGGAGATAGCGCCAGTCTCAAAGCTCAATGAACAGAAAGAACACGGTTTCTCGCTCGCCTGTTATGGTTCTTTCATGAAATTTGCCGCAAAAACCTCGACTAAAACATCCATCAAACCGGGTTTGATCTTAATACGACCGGAATATAGAAGAGCCCGACGTTCTGCTAAATGGAAATTCTCAGTCTGTCACCGAACCGAACGAATCCAACCTTAAGGTTCCACTTAATAAGAGCGCTTTTACAAGTCTACTTTGAACCGATAAAATCCGGTAATACGAAATGTGTCATCCACATTAAAGAAACCAACGCGTTAACAACCCCAATACAATCACATTACGGTGCAGATTCGGAAGGTCGTCAAAATATCAACATTATTCGACTTGACTAAGTCTTTGCGGGCCACGCGATCGAGTTTAGCAATTTTTCGTCTTGACGTTTTGAACCAAGAACGACATTGGCCTGCAGCACGGAAGAGCGTGGGACAATAAAAATTACGACCGGTGTTTTGCGCCGAGCGCGCGCTCTCTTCGATGACTGATATTCTCCGCTAATATATTTTCTTTGTTGGTAAAATTCTTAAAGGCGTGGCAGTTTGTGTTATTTTTATGTAACAAATCATAATAAAACGTTGTGAAATAAAATCGAATTAGAAAGGAAACCTCCAAAATCATCTAATCACTGCTTCACAATTAGAAGGTTGAAGCTTCCAGCTTCCGCAATACAAGGGATTTAAATGGACATGACGTCTACGTCGCGTCATCACAGTCAACAGAATTTGTTGATACTCTTGATACTGAATCAGGGTCCAGACGAGTAAATCTAGTGACGGTGCAACATCGGGCATCGAAGTGGTTATTGGGAACGTTTACAACATAATAGAGAGCATTAGTCCGATCCACTTTTGACATCATTATCTGTGTAGTCGAGTGACGATAACCTGCTAGCGGTGTGTTGGTCGCTCCCGCCCCGCCTCGAGCCAGCGGCAGTCGCGCGCGTCCTCGTCTGCCGTGTGGTCGTGTGCTCAGTGCGCTGCGCATGCCTCTCCATCTGCCTACAAGGGTACACTTGGAGAACTCGCTTTTGGCGGGTTTTCGCACGGACGTGAGCGGCGAATGTGATGCGCTTTACGATCGGACACGGAATGTGTGCGTGCTGCCTATTGTATGTGTTTGCGCGTCACAGTGAAATCCGCGGCGAGGACTGTCAGTGATCACTTGGATTGCAGTGTTGGATCTTAGGATATAAACGGAGGCGGCCTGCTCTACGATTTTAATAAATTTTTTCGTAAGAAATTATCGCTCGGACGGATGTTTTGTCCATTACGTTGACTCATGCATGACGCACTCGATTGCTGGAACTGGGAGCTCATGATTTGTGGCCTCTTTTCGAACTAAAAACAATTACGGAATTAGATGAATATTTTTATAATAGCCAAAAGCTATGATTTGGTTTCGCGGTGTGTGTTATGTTTACGAGCGGGCGCGGAACAGTATTTATAATTGACGTTGTAGTCAAAAACAAGGTCGCGTTTGCCGCCTCTAATGCAATCGCTCGAAGCCTTTTGCGAATAGATAGCGATTTCAAAACGGAACGGTCACTTGGAAATCTTCATTCGCGCGTGTAACTATTAATGTGTTTGTCGTAAACATTGATAAAACAATCGGTTCTATGAGATAGGATCCTAAGTGATAATTTATCCGGCTATTAATCAAAATGCGGGTATGCGACCTTGGCCTCGAGCCATTGCCATTTCCCCATTTTCTAACCTTGTTGGTTGATAGTAATAGTGCTAATTTTTTTTAAATGTAAATATGTACTTCATTAGTTATATTCCTATTCCTTGCTTCAAATCAACGAAGCGACCGGTCGTATTTAAAAACTGTTTCACATCAAGTTATAAAATGTGTTCATGTTTTTGATTGTAGACGAAGAAAGATGATAGAATAGGTAAAATTAGCGTATTGGAGATATGTGAATAAAAGCAATAACGAGATTCAAATGTTTTTTTTTGTCTTATTTCGCTGGTATGAAACGTTTTGCATGACGATACTCTGATATTGATTCGTTTGCCTCATTGTCTTAATGGTTTTTTTTATTGCCCTTCTGTGCAGACGAGCATACGGCCCACCTGATGGTGAGCGGTTACGGTCGCCCATGGACTTCAGTAATGCTAGGGGCAGAGCCAAGCCGCTGCCTACCAGAAGTGTACCTCAATGCTGTACTATGCTATCTCAATTAGATTCCCAGTCGAACTTATATTTGATGGGTATTAGAGGTTTGCGAGTACGTATATTGTATGGTTGTTTCGTATATATATTTTATCGGCACTCGTAACACGATGTTAAGCTATGGCGTTATGGTTTTGACTATGGTGTCCCACATGGCGCCACTCATACCAAATTACTAATAAATATAAAACTGTAGCGTTTCGAATGACTATTGAATGAGAATGAAGCATTCCATAAGTTTTTACGTTTTAACATGGATAACTAACTGTGCTTGGAAGCTCGAGATTAGATTTATAATCGTAAGGATATGACAGTTTGATATCCATCGACGTTTATAAAAAAAGCTTTATTATTTCAATATGGTTGGTATTCCAAAATACAATACAATATTAACGTAACTTTTATAAATTAGGCTACTTAATATGAATCAAGCTTAAACCGGTGCCATTGAATGAAGACCTTGGACATCACGCGTGTAGTGCACCGCCGTTGTGACGGCAAAGCTTCAATTTCTCGGTAACTGCTCTCCTGTCGTAATAGGAACGCATGAATCTTTTGCGACATCACATAAAGTTAAAATAATGGTGGGTGGCGCATTTACGTTGTAGATGTCCATGGGCTGCAGTATCCACTTAACATCAGGTGGGCTGTGAGCTTATTTTGCAAGTTATAAAAATATGTCTAAAAATATTCTATATATACTTTTGCATATTAGACCGTCGTGGTTTAATTTTTAGAATGTCAAATTATCTTGAGTTCATAAATTGAACGTAAAAGCTCATGAATCAACGTCTCGACCGATCTTCCCTGAACGCGCACTTTTCTCTCATTAATTCTTTAATCAAATTCAAAGTATCATTACTTAGAGACGAGCTCGGAATATTAATGCGTTTTAATCCTACCCGATCGCGGCGGTCAGTCGAGAAGACATTATATTCAGTGGAACTTTGCATTATAACTACCCAAGTCGGTGTTTAGATTTTTTGTCTTGCTCTCGTATTGTTCTTTTGCGATACGAGCGAAAGGGACGCAGCGCCGCCGTAGACACCTAGTACCGTTTTTCGGATTTCGCTGTTAGTTCTTCCCACGGGTAACGGTCGGTCTGTACATCTCAAGGGTTATCTTAAACGCCATTATAAAGGATGAAATAAAGTAACAAAATCTAATCGTCTTAACAGAATATTTACGATTCGTTTTGTCCGCCCGTTAATGGAACGTGGACTGCAATCGTTTTATTGACTTCAAATCGTAGTTAATTAATTAGCAGTTGTACAGTGAAATGATGCGAACAATATGGTCACTAAGAGATGTAAGGTCTTACCAGTAAAACATTAGATGGATAATAATCATCGAATTTCTAATACACTTAACTAAAAATATGTTTTAAATATACCGTCATTACTAGATTGCGATGATAATATGAAATGGTGAAATCGTAATTTTTTTTTTGTTATTTGTGTTTTATTTATTTATTGCCTAGATGGGTGGACGAGCTCACAGCCCACCTGGTGTTATGTGGTTATGGAACCCATAGACATCTACGACGTAAATTCGCCACCCACCTTGAGATATAAGTTCTAAGGTCTCAATTATACTTACAAAGGCTGCCCTACCCTTCAAACCGAAAGAAATAGGTACCTACCCGCACGGACTCACAAGAGGTCCTACCACCAGTAAGTGTGTTTTTGTAATTAGGGATAGCCAAACGTACCTTAGACATCGTTTCTTTTTTTAATAGTTTTTTTAGTGAGAATCCCTACGTCATACGTCGTTGTGACCTCGAATTTAAACTGGGTTAATGTTTCCGAGATGTAGGACATCAGTATTTGGCTCGAATAGAAAATTAACTCGTTTTTGTCGTTGAAGGTTTTCGGAGCTGCAACCTTGACTGATATTCAATTTATACGTTTAATTGTGTAACCGATGGTATAATTAATATATCTTGAAGACATACGAAATTATATAGAGCTCATGTCATATCAAGCGTGTATTATTAAAACAATATAAATTTCTGTCTTTAGTAATTCCATTTTAACGAAGGGTTCTTTAGGGTAATATTCTACAATGGAGACTTGGAGATTTAGACTACAGCTCAGGTTATGCGGTATTTATCTAATGGCGACAATTAGGTCAGAGTGAATCTTAGTGATAATAAACTGGAACTAGTTTATATCTTAAGTACGGCTATCCTGTCTAGTTGTGCCGCGAAACAATATGGGCTTCGGCTTATAGGACAGGCGAGCTGTTGTATGTACCAAATTAACAGAGACCTCTCTGCCTTGTGTCTTAAAATGAACATTCGCGTTTTGGTGAATCTTTTAACATCAGGTTAGCCGGGATATCGTCTGCCAAACGTAGCTCATAAAAATTAGGCCGAATATTGTTAATTGGCCCAATTTACCTCGTAAAAATAGGGCCGAAAATTGTCAATCTGCCCAACTTAGCCCATAAAAATAGGGCCAAAATTTGTCAAATCATTGAATCAACATTTCACTGTATATTGTAATAGTGAAGTTAGCAATTGCTAAAATAATAAAAATAATTGTGAGTAAGGGCCGTGTATTTCAAACACCCCAGCGGTTTGGGTTCGTTTGATTTTGATTTTCTCACATTTTTTAAGACCGGTAGGTAGGGTATCACAATACAATCCGTTCCTCGCGTTTCGTATTGTTCTCTGACTGATTGTAAGTTGAGATTCACTTTATGCTTCTAAACCTTTAATGAATTTTGATTAGACGGTAATGTAAAACAAAATTGTTTAAAACAATAACATATCCTCCGTTACGTTACATACTATTAACATTTGGTATGTGATCCCGTAAGCAAATTTGCTACTATTTGGGCATCATCATCTAGTACCTCTTGAAGTAGTTATGTATGTAGTGAGCTCGTCCGGGCTTACTAACACAGTCCTCCCATCCAAAATATTAAAAGATACGTCCACGAAATACTCACGCGTTTAGGAAGGATAGAGTATGTACTCTTTCATGCGGTTGGGTGTTTTATTCTACCATAAAATAAATATCAGATTATAGCTTTGTTACGTATTCGTATTGCGTACATCAGATAAGCTAAGGAAAGATCCGTGTAATAGGTCCGTGTAATAAAAACCTTTGTTTAATAAAAGCAAAAAGTGTATACATATAAGGTCGGTCAGCAGCACCACTGATTTTGGGATTTAGAGAGATGAAATTATGCGCACGTAATCACTGTTTCTATAATCTCATGATTCAGATTGAGAACTTGATTTGCGTTCTTCTAGATCAAACAGGTCATTGGTAACTGTGCACTCGATATTGTTTTTTCTGGAAGACGTAATATGATATCATCATGTTTTCTTCCAGAATAACGCGGGGATGGACATCCTGTTGCAATTTATTGACAATGCTAATATAAATTAGAACAGAAAAAAAGAGTATTGTTTCCAAAGTCGATGGGAATGAAAAGTTATTATAATTTACGAATGACTTTTTACACGCAATGTAATTTGAAATTAGCTGACGCGTCGGGTTTCGCGGGTGCAGCGGCCACAGAGGTTGTTGACCTACTACGACGATAAATATTTTTGCTTGGTTTTTGATCAATACTGTGTTCCTTCTGCGTTTCAATTGTTTCTTAAAAATGGTACGGCATTCTAAGTGCAAAGGCGTTTTGCATTCTTCAAGTATTATACCAGCGTACTGCGATCGCCCACCTTTTTTGTTTTTTCCTACCTAAGCTGAGAGCCTTGAGAGGTTATTTCAGCGTAACCTTAACTAGTAGGTGAGCTCACGGGGCTCAAACCTGACGACGCTGCTAACACGAACCCTAGCAAGAGTCGTGCTTCGCAGAATCTACCACCGGATCGGTAACGCGACCCACAGAAGATTCGGCGAGAAACTCAATGGGCTGTGTCTGTGGGTTAATTTACTCGTCGAGCCCTTCGTCGCAAGCGACGGGTTCGACGAGAACGATGATCGGTGCTTGAGGTACCTAAAAGCACCGTTAGTGGATCGGGAGGATCCGAAATGACGTGATATCGCTATTTTCTGTTGATTGAGTAACCAGCTTAGGTAGAAGCCAATGTCTATGTCTCCGGCGAAACAGACATGCGTTCCTATTTGGAAGGGTGGGACAGTCGTCATACCAATCAAATGAGATTTAGATCACATCTGTCTTAGGAATTTGGGTCGCCCTAAATTTTTCAACCGCAAAACAATGTACACTCGATACTTCAAAAACGTTGGTCGTGGGTGGCGGTGTTCATGTTGTACCGGTCTTCGCTTACATCCTAACGCCAGGTGTACCGGTAACTCGTCGTCCGTGTCAATCAACCGGAAAAAATCTTACGAAGGTCAGGTCTTATTCATCGTGTTCTCATTGATGTCGCTGCGAAACGATATTCACTTGTGCATTGTGGTTTTTCTGTTTATTTTTTGTAAATTACCTATGCGTTTTGCATGATGCATTGCGGTTAGGGTTGTCACTTTTGTAACGACGTGTTTTGATTTCGGTCAGTGTGTATATTGGAAGAGGAGTATTTCCTTTTTATCGGTAGAGGCCCGCACGATTAGGGTCCATCCTCCGCCTTTATTATGCTGTGAATCAATCGTGCACATGGTACCAATGTTAGAATAATATTACAATACGATTGAAGCTTCCACTCTATAAGCCGAAATTAGATTCACGTTGCTATGTCCACGGACTAAGGTACCACCGATCAAGAGTATTACAATGTTTTAATTGAGGTTAACAAAAAAATAATCATCTCAAATAAAATTTCAGTAATTACACTCTGTAGCAAATACATTAGCTTTGTATATGATATGAGACAAATAAAGAACTAGTGTACAATGTGTACATGACCTAAAAAAATCACGCAACAATATGACGATAACCCTTCGATGAAGTTGTGTCAATAATAAAATGCGTATTACGTATTTCCCTCTTGAATGGTAAACAGCGTTTTTCCTTGAGTGACTTCAAAATTAATATTAATAATTCGTTCAGTGTGAAGTTTAATTCGTATCACTCACGTTTGGGATTAACGATTTCGGCGCCGTTCGAAATTTGAACGTAATGTGACGTATATTTGAGGTCGAAAATCGTGTGTGGTTACAGCAATCAATAGTACGTTATTGCTTATTTGATATTAGAGTAAATATTTTGATTTTTTTTACAGTGTATCGCTCGTTGAATATTTGAAAAAAAAAACACTAAAATGTTCGTACGCGGCGTTGATTAACAGCGAATTTTTAATTGTGTGTACTTAAGAAACGTCATTGTGTTGTGTATGTATAGTGTGTAAATACTTCATAAGTGTGTGTATGCAAAACGTGAAATATTTAGAATAATAAGTATTAAACAAGATACCAGTGGTATGCATATGTTGTGTTATGAAAGGCCTGGTGTTGTTACCGCCCTGAACGGATCTGTTGGGTAAGATACCTATTATTGTTTTTTTTAATACACCATTAATTAATGCTGTAACGCTATCTATCTTCTTTATCTCCACCTTATCCCACTAGGTGGGGTCGACACAGCTAATTTTTCTCTTCCATTCTCTTCTATCAACCGTCATCTTAACACTCACTCCTCTCTCTCTCTCATATCGTCATTCACACACTCCACACTTCTTCGGTCGACCTCTTCCCCCTCTACCTTGCACTACAGTTGTAAGGCGATATTAACAGTAAAGTCCTTTTGCTGGCAACACTCGAGATGGTAGTTTTCATTTTTAGGCGATTTTATTTTTTTGCACTGGTAACACGAAGTATGATGACAACATGATAACGACAAAGAACGACTTGTTTGGGTTCTTTTGAGTCTTAGATCGGACGTATATGTAATTTAATTTCAAATAACTTTTAATTTAACTTTATTGCTATAAAAGATATATATTTTTTATTAAACAAAAGAAATATCCATAAAAATTGGTTTTGATATAATAATACAATACTGTAATTCACAAAAAAAACCCCGAACAATAAGTTGCTGTAATTGTTTTTGTGGTATTAAATGACAGAGTAGCTTGAAGTTAGCAAAAAGGTTTCAATTGACGTGACTCTCTACAAGGTTGCCTTTTCGCTCCAATAATGTTTGTCTTTTGAATATATTACTTGCAAATCAACTAAACCAATAAAATAAAACAAAAATATTTCCTACGAGCGTGTCACGATACGATGACATTAAAATCGGCCCAAGCCTAATGAACACGAAACAACAAGAAAGTCTCACCTACGCAGTCTAGTAATTATAACATTAACATTTCTAAGTAGGATTCAACGTGAAATAAACAGCTAAACCGCTTCAGCCATTGTAGAAATTAGTGTGCAACAATGTGCGGAATAACAATAGCTTGTTTATTATTTGAATTCAAATACCTGAATAGATTTAGTATGAAAACAAGGTAGTCGTTCGTAATAAATTCAAATTAAATAACCTAGTGTGTGTGTTTTCTTGTCAAGGCCAGACGAACGTGCGGCTTACCAGATCGTATGTGGTTATACTCAATCATGAGGATCCACGATGCCCGGGTGCAGCCATTGGCTGCTTTCCAATAATACACATGTATTAGCCGACGACTATGTGATTTGAAAGATCCATTAAGAACAAACTAAAAGATACCTTATCAATTGCATCGTGGCGCAGACGAATCCTTAAAACTAAACCGGCCTTTGTTACCTTCTCAATATGTGATCGCCAAATAAAGGATTTTAATACTACTACTGCTACTACTACTACTGAGCTGGCGCTATGACCCCGAAGTGGGTCTTGGCCTCCGACAATAAGCTTTGCCATTCATCCCGGCGCTGCGTAACACCTTTCCAGTCCGACACTTGGAGCTCCCGTAAATTTCCTTCCACAGCGTCAGACCAGCGGTACTTGGGCCTCCCTACGGGGCGGCGTCGTCCCTCCGGTACACCCGTGTACACCCGTTTCACAGCCCGATCCTGCTCCATACGTACTACATGTCCGAGCCATCCGAGCCTCCGTGCCTTCATCTCCCCCAGAATATTTGGCTCACCAACAAGCCTCTCCACATCCTTATTTTAATGACATGTTCAAATTGAGATCGAAATGTTGCACACTCAATGAACCTGAACCGATTCGTATTTCTATGCCATGAGTGTTGCAAATAAACAACAGTCAATATACGAGTAAAGAACACGCCTAGACTTGGAATGTGTGCAGCAGAATAGCCTAGAGCAGATTTTTAGAGATGGCGTGGCATCGTATCACGATTACTCTGGCAAAAGTGAAACAAAAATGAATACTTGGAAAACTACACATTTCAACCTGGTCTTCTATTGGTGGTAGGACCTCTTGTGAGTCCGCGCGTCCGGGTAGGTACCACCGCCCTGCCTATTTCTGGCGTGAAGCAGTAATGCGTTTCGGTTTGAAGGGTGGGCCAGCCGTTGTAACTATACTGAGACCTTAGAACTTATATCTCAATGTGGGCGGGGCATGTAGATGTTTATGGGCTCCAGTAACCACTTAAGACCAGGTGGGCTGAGAGCTCGTCCACCAATCTAATAAATAAATAAAAAATAAATAAAAACCCTTTTTTTCCCCTACCTACGCTGATAGCCTTGAGAGGCTATTTCAGCTTCACCCTAACGTGTGTAGGTGTGCTCACGTGGCTCAAACCGGAGTGTTGCTAACACTGACCCTAGCAAGAGTGGTGCTTCGCAGAATCTACCACCGGATCGGAAACGCGACCCACTGAGAAGATCCGGCGAGAAACCCAGTGGAAAACCCTCAAAGAGACCATCAATATTTAAAATTCTAAAGGATATTACAGATTTGAATGAAAAGATCCGACGAACTAATCTTAAGACTTAATTTATGTCTTATTGTGTTTCAAATTACGCATCCTAATAGTGAAATATAATGATTTAAAGGGAAATTTTGTATTTAAACGTCGTCGGAATCGAGTTCGGGCTTTTTTAATTGGCCATTCATCGGCGTGCTCGGCGTATAAAAGTTTTCGGATTTCAGTACGTTTCACGGATAATTAACTTATAATGTTCGTAATATTTCGTGCGGCTTATCCAAGTAAGATTATATTATGAACGTGGACGGAATCATTATAAAATAACGTTGCATTTACATTTTAATGATTAATAATATTTACTGGTGGTAGGACCTCTCGTGAGTCCGCGCGGGTATGTACCGCCACTCTGCCTATTTCTGTCGTGAAGCAGTAATGCGTTTCGGTTTGAAGGGTAGGGCAGCTGTTGTAACTATACTTGAGACCTTAGAACTTATATCTCAATGTGGGTGGCGCATTTACGTTGTAGACGTCTATGGGCTCCAGTAGCCGCTTGACACCAGGTGAGCTGTGAGATCGTCCACCAATCTAAACTATAAAAAAAAACATTTTAAAATTGTCATTATTTTCCTGCCTCTTTATCTGCTTTGTGTTAATTAAAAAGTACGTAAGTAGTCCTGGTGAATGCCACCGCTAAAAATAGATGTCAGGTCTAATTTATCGTACACGTATAGTAATAAAAATAAAATAAATATGCAATAACTTGTAAAAGTATGTACAATCAGCGAGATTATCGTTCTAAGCGATTTAGTCTAGACTAGACGACCGTTGGTGGACAAGAAGAAAGAAAAGACAAATGTTAGTTGCGGCTTATTTACAATTAGCAAAATGTTCAGAACAAACACTCATGCTTCTTCTAAGTGGTTTTGCTGCTACATTCAGAATTGTATAAGTAGAAACGAAATAAAAAGGAAATTATTATATTAGGCTAATGCATACACAAACATGTTCAAAGTACATAAGTAAATATGCATCTTCAAACGAAGCTTCCGGAGAGTACTTAACGGTAAGCAGCGGCATGGCTCTGCTCCTGGTAGTGCTGACGTCTATGTGACAACGTTTGATAACACACATCAGTTCGACAATGGGGATTAATCCCCAAAATCTGGACTGAAATGAAATTAAGTTCATTCAAAATACTTATAATATATGTCGGCGCAACGTCACTATTTAGTCAAATAAGATTGGTTAAAGTTAACTGTTTCCTTAATGTTACGCATGTGCAAAACTGTTTAAGACGATATTCAATAGAATTCATGACTAAGCTACCCCCACTTTCTACTATCAATACGTGTGACTATTGTCTCACAAAACAGCCCGCTGAGTTTCTCGCCGGATCTTCTCAGTGGGTCACGTTTCCGATCCGGTGATAAATTCTGCGACGCACTGCACTGCTCAGTGCTCTTGTTAGGGTTAGTGTTAGCAACGACGTCAGGTTTGAGCCCCGTGAGCTCACCTACTTGTTAAGGTTACGCTGAAATGGTCTCTCAAGACCATCAGCTTAGGTAGGGAAAAAAAACCCTAAATTTTCCGACTCGAGCAGTCGAACGGAGCGGAGCTCGCTGTTGTTATCGTTGTACACTTGAAATATAATAAATAGAATTCATTGGAAAAGTCAGTGTTAATTACTGTCACTATGGAAGGCAACGTTAATGATGAAGAGAATGACGTCAGCAACGCTTACGTCAACACTTTAAAAACTACCTGGAACCTTCCTCTCCGCTATATACATTAAATATTATAAAATAGATTAAAATAATTGGACAAGTAATGTCTCTTTATCAATTGTATAAACTAACTGATGTGTCAGCATGTGTTTATAGCGGGGAGTGCACTCCACAAACGAATAGCCCGTAAGTGTTGTAAAAGAATGGTCGTAAAACTTCGTAAATGGCACGGGCATCCTTAATTCCAGATTCTCTGATGACCTCGAGGATAAAAGTGCCTATCACTGACCATCTCAAAACGACCTTAGAACTATAATAGAGATGTAGGATTGTAAATGATGCTATAAAGTATGTTTTGAGCGGTCCCGCAAAGGTGAATTGATAGACACTTAATTTTCTCATTCTTATTCGGTTCTTATCGCGAAGAATTTATGTGTTCAGATTTTTTTTGTTTGTTTGTTTGAATAGCGGCTCTTGTAATGTAATAGAGACTTTTGGTACTGGTGGTAGGATGCATTCTGGCCTGCACAGATAGAAACCGGCTTCCTGCTATTTCTACCGCGTAGCAGTCATACGTTCTATTAGAAAGCTTACGGTATATTACGGTACGTAAAACAATTTGACTCACTATGTCTCTGGTTCGGTGGTAGCAATAGTGTTGTTATATCTGTGAGTTTCAGTAACTTATCATCAAATGGGCAAGGAGCTCTTCTTCCAACCTATTGCATAAAAAAAAGAAAATTTAAAAGTACTTCACAATCATGTTGTTAGCAAAGAAGTAAAATATTGCAAAAAAACTTTTATTAAATTTTAAACAAAGAGTATCACACCCAAACGTTTGAATATTTGCCAGAAATCGACTTTTAACATCTTCGGTTCTGCAAATTTATATTTATAGGAACGTTCTTTCGAAATTATAACAAACAAAAAAAACGGTT